GCTGACGGTGACCCCACCTCCTCAATGTGAGGCTTCCTGAGTCACTCTAGCTGCCCCCGTCAGGGCCCATGGCAGGCAGGGGGTGTGTGGAGAGGTCCAGGAGAGGAGCCCGCCACCTGGCCACCCCCTTGCAAGGGGGCCTGGGAAATGCAGAATAGCCTGGGCTCAGGAGGATGGGGACCCCACCCCAGTGGACAGCTGCAAGGTAGGCCCTGCCTCACGCACCCCTATTCTTTTGTTTGTGGGGTTAGGTGTTTCTCTGGGGTTGGCGATTCCAGCCCCGTGTTCCGCTTCATATGGGAGGTTCCGGGCTCGTCCATCAGCAAACGGTCAGCTGCCTGAGACCTCGAGCTGGGCCCAGCAGGCAGCCGCTGGGAGCATTGTGCTGGCTCTGGGGACAGGGGACTCACCGCTCCTCCCAGGTGTCATTGGGCAGAGGGGTCTCTTTACTCACTCCCTACTGCTGAGCATGGCCAGGGCTGACCCCGTAGCTCCCCTGCCGTTGTCCCAGGCCCCACAGCTCCTGGAAGCAGCCGCCTCTGTGAACGGCTCCTCTGGGAGCCACCATCACCTGCCAGCAGGTTTCACCTCCATGCTCCAAGGTTGTGGTTTCTTCCCTCCAGCCAGAGCAACAGTCCCCCAATGTCCCTGGGACTCCTTGAGATTTCTGGTCCATGGAGAACCCCCTTCTTGTCCTCCTGGTCATAGCGCATTACCTTTTTTTTTTTTTTTTTTTACTGTGTCATTTCCAGGGATTGAGGACAGGAGAGGTGGCTGCTAGGAATCGCACAGGCTGCTATCTTGATTCAGTCCCTTTGTGGCCTTTAAACCCGCTCAGGTCTCAAGCCTTGGATGCTTAATCCCTGGGAGCTGCATCTTCGAGGCCGTATCGATCTGGGTCTGTGGGTCGCAAGCAGGGCTGGACGAGGTCCGGATGCTAGGAGCCCAGATGACCTCCAAGATGTCCGGATGACCTCCAGCCCCTCCACTCCCAGCTGCTGTGAGCCTCCTGGGGTGCAGCTGCCTGCCTGCCTTGGGATTCCTGTGATGGAGTTTTAGAGCTCTCTGCCCAGTGGCCTTGGCAGTAAGGAGTTGGATGGTGACTTTAGTGACAACAGTGCCAGGGACACAGGGACTGAGCATTCTCAGGGGCTGAGCCCACAGACCTAGGATGTCTGTGATAAGGTAGCGCCAAACCCTCTACCATTTCCCACCCCATGTACCTCCCGCTGACTGGACAGGGCCCTCCAGGTGAGGAGCCTTCGAAATCTCGCGCCCAGGGGGGTTTCAAACCGAGCCACTTGCTTTGCTGCCACTTCCATTTAGGTCTGAGATTTCCCTGCAAGCAAGGTTTGAGACCCTAGGAAAATCCGAAAAGCTGCTTTCCTCAGGCCTGGGCCACTGACGCATGCTGCAGTTTCTCCTCACGGAATTAAGACCGTGTCTGTCACCGTTAAGGAACATGCAGAGCGGATGATGCACCAAAGTCCTCCACCTAGAACCGGCTCACCTGCCTTTGCATGTTTGTTAGTGACAAGAAGACATCAACTAGCCCTTTGGCATCCTAGGGACGGTTTTCCCACTTCCCCCTGCCCCGGGGAAGGCAATCCAAGGCGATAAGAGGGCCAGGGCCTCCCCACTGCAGCCCCTCAGGGCTTGGCCAGCGAACGAGGAGCCTCCCTTCGCCCGCCCCCGGTAAGGTGCCCGTCCCGATGAGAGGGATTCGGGGCAGCGCAGAGCAGAGGCCGCGCCCTGGCCGGGTCCCCCGCAGACCAGAGTCCCCGGGCGCTGGCTCGAGCGCTCGGACGTTCCCCTAGTACGACCCAGCTCGGGGACACTGCCCACGGGGGCGAGACCGGGGCCCACCCTGGGTTCGGGGCTCGCTGGAGCCGCTGGAGCCGGACGCCCGCTGCTCCTACGGGCCGGGCACCTGCTTCACCGGGCGCGGCTGCACCTCTCCGCGAGTCCCTAGGGAAGCGCGGGCAGGGCGCCCGACGCCAACGGCTGCTCGGGACCGAACCCTCTCGGGCCTCGGGGCCGACCGTGACCCCGCAAACCGCCATCCCCCTCCCCGTAGCCGCGACGCAGCGCCGCCCCTCCCACGTCCCTCGCGACTCAGCCTCAGAGACTAACAGCCCTGGCCCGCGCCAGGCACCTCCCGCTGGCCACGCCCCCGGCTCGCCCATTGGCCCGGCCGCGCGCCGCCGCGCGATCCCATTGGCCCTCGCTGGCGGCTCAGACAAAGGGAGCGGCGGCGGCGGGCGGTGATTGGGCGGGGTTGGCGCCGGGGTGGGGGGGAGCGCCGGGGCGGGGTAGGAGAGGACGGCGGCGCGGGGGGAGGGGCGCGCGGTTTCGGACCCGGGCTGGAGGGCGACGCGGGGGTGTGCGGGGGACTCGGGCGCCCGGCGGGGAAGTCTTCCCTCGCGGGGGCGGGGACGCGGGGGCGGGGCGCCTCCACGTGGGTGGGGCCGGGCGCCCCTGGAGGGCGGCGGCCGCGGGGCGCGGGACTGGGGGAGCCCGCCCGCCCCTCCGCCCTGCACCCCTCCCGCCCCGGGGCTCCTGCCCGGACGGCGGCTGCCGCCGCTTCGTCTTCCCCGAGGGCTCCGCGTCCGTCTCTGCAGCGCGGCTGGGAACCTGGGCACGCCGGAAACCGGACCCGAAGCCAGGGCCGCAGCCCCGTGGCTGGAAGCGGCGGTCCCCGGCCTCCGAGCGCTGCTCCGGACCTGCGGGGCCGCAGGACCCTCTACGCAGACCGCGGGCGGGGAGGGGCGCGGGCGCTGGCGCTTGAAGACAGACGCAGCGCCCGGAAAGGCGGGCCGCGTTCCCTGCTCCTGGCGCTTCCTGGAGAGTTGGCTCGGCGGGGTGCGTCGCCGGGGAGGGAGGGACAGGCCGTGGGGCGACAAGCCGGGCGGGGAGTGGCTTCTGGGGGCCCTCGCCTGCGGAGGACCCGCGAGGCCGCCCTCGGAGCGCCGCCAGGTATGTGCGTTTTCCTTTTTTCCCCGTGCGCCCAGAGCGCACTCTCGGTAGGGACCGAATAAAAACCCGGCTGGTGTGTAAGAGCCTTTCGCTGCAAACGTGTCTTTCTGCGGGGTACAGAGGGGGCAGCCAAACGTGGGACAACCCGGCCTGGGGTCTTCCTGCGGCTTCCACCTGGGTCCCTTCATCTCCCCAACTTCGGGGCTCAGAGCGGGTGCCCGGTTGGAAATGCTTGTCTCTTTTCTCCTGGTCCGGTTTAATTCGCCGAAGAGCCCGTGCGTCCTGCGTGGGCCTCAGAGCTGGGACAACCGGGCTTTGTTCTCCGCAGTCTTTCCCGCCCCTTCCCCCTAGAAAATCCAGATTCTTTTTTGAGCAAGAACTCAGTTTGGGGGGAGGTGTTTTAGGAGGAAGTTCGGGATCGGGAGATCCGACCTCGGCCCCAAGCTGGGTGGATAGCTTCCCTTGTCCTGGAGCGAGCCGCGCCTGGCCTCTGGAGCCCGGGACTTGCACGGTTAGGAGAGGCCCGGGGGATTTGGGCGTATATTTTTGGAGGAGGAGGGGTATCCAGAGGAGGCCTGGTAGCCTGCCTGGAGCGGGCTCCTTTCTCTCCCCCATGCCCACTGCAAACAAAAGAAATTCTGGGAGAACAGTTTTGGGGGAAGAACTCTTCTGAATGTAAACCTGCAAGTCCTTCCCGCCCCCTCTTAGGACAGAGTTTTTATAACAAAGTGAAGGTTGGAGAGGGTTGAAGGGAAAGGAGAGGTTTTATTTGGAGGTACTTTAAGAAAGAGAACTCACTTTCTCTTCCCCCCAAATTAGAGGCAACTAAGTCAGAGATGTCCCCACGTTCTTACCTGATTAGTGGAATTTTAGATGGCGTTTGAATTTGGGATGGTTTTGCTTGAAGATTGTTTCAGAAGAGGAAGAGTCTTAGTTATGTGGGAAATTGGAAATTTGGCCTCCACCCGGTGGGAGAAGAACCCCCTGTGGAGTGAAATGTATTTCTGGCCGTTTTGCAGGAGATTGAAAATTAAGAGGTCTGATGGTGGGGAGGGTGATTTTGTGTCCTTTTGTCCTGCGCCCACCCCCCAGTAAATTGGAACAAAGGGCTGAGGTGCAAGAGGCAGAATGGGCTGGGAAGCAAAGGGAGCATGAGCAAGTTATAAAAACTCCCCGCCTGCCAGTCCCCGTGCACACTCGATTATTTCATCGGAGTGTGGGTGGGAAAAAAAAAAGACCCCTGGCCTAGAGTCGGGTTTGGTACCGACAGCCTAGTTTTTGGCCTGGGGGGTTTGAGTCGGGTTTGGTACCGACAGCCCAGTTTTTGTCCCCTTGGGGACCCTCCCCCGGCTGGTCCCCAGTCGATGTTTCCCGGCTGGAGCGAGAAGTGTCCCTGTGGCATGAAGGTCCCTCCTTGGGGCAAAGCGCGCCCCCTGAGGACCGAGAAAGACTCGGGGTTCGCGGCGTGCTCGCTGCGCTCGCTGGGGCCTGGCCCTGGGGCGCAGACCCGCATCCACCAAAGAAAGGGACCTCATTTCTCTCAAAATAAAACTCAACAAGCCATAAAGACTCCGGATCCAGTGGAAAGATTTATGGTCCCTCCAATTCCCCACACTCTAATTACCCCTGTTTTTAGTTTACTTATGGGTGGTGACCAATAAAATCATTTTCCATTTTGGATTTTTTTTTTCAACATGAAAAATGCAATCTTTGCGCCTCTCTCACCCGCTTGAGTGGATCTTTTCCGGGAGGGAAGAAAAGGAATCCGGCAGGCGAACCGGGCCTGCCGACTCCCTCCCAGCCCCCAATTGCAATTTAAGGGAAAGTCTTTTTTCCCTTCTCCCGCCGCCCTGGGGCGTTCGCAGGGACCCCTCCCCAGAAGCCCTGCCTTGGGCTGCGGGCCCCAGCCCCAGCCCCATCGGGCCACCCTCCGGCCCCGCACTGGGCGCAAGCCCGGGGTGTCCGGCGGCCCCTCCCCCACCCGCCTCCCTTTGTTAGCCGCTCCGGACGCCGAGTTGGAGGTGGCAGGAAGAGAATAATTAGATGGAAAGCAAAGATTAGCCCGGTGCGCTGGCGGCCCAGGCCTGGCCGGGCCGACGCTCCGCCGGCGCCTCATAAATCTTCTTCGCGGGCCTGACAAAGCCGCGGCCCCAGGTCCCTGGGAATTGAGAAACGTATCGATCTTCCCCTCGCGGTCCCCCCAAACACTCTTCTTTGGGAGCGAGGGCGGAGAGCCCTTGGTGACCCCGACTTCTGGCCAGCGCAGGACACCCCCGGCCAGAGCCTGGGGAGCATGAGTCTCAGAAAAGGACGCAGGGGGAGGGGAGGTCGGGACAGCGGGGGGCCGGGCCCAGCCCCCACCCGAGGAAGGGCAGCAAGTACACATTACTGGGGTGCTGCATTCCCGCCGCCGGAGCAGGGAGTGGCGGGGCACTGGGGTGGCGAGGGCGCGTCCACCCATGGTTGGCGACTCCTTTGTCTGGCGGGCGGTCGCCGAGGCCCGCGGGGCGCCCTGGGCCGGGGCTGGGGCTGGCGCCCGGCTCGCGGGGATCCCGGGGCGGCCGCGCCACGAGGCCTCGGCGCAGCCTTTCCCCCCCAGGCCCGGAGCCCGAGCGGCCACGTGCGACCCGCCCGGAGCGCGCCGGGCCGGGCGGCTGCTGGAGCGGGACGGGACTGGAAGGAAGTCTTGGCGCGCTGATTTTTTTAAAAACTCGAATTAATCGGGAAAATAGTAACGGCGCTTCCCAACGCAGAGAAGAGGCTGCGGGTGGGGAAGGATGCCTTTTAAAAAATTGTATCTGCGTGTCGTGGCGGTCGTTTCTGACCTTTCGTACTATTAAAAGAAATGTTGCCACGTCTAATTTTTGTTGCCATGAGATACGGACAGGGCAGCCCAACATTTTGGAGTAATTTGATTAGCCTTCAAACAGCGAATCCGAAAGGGAGGCCCAGGTATAGTTTCTTTATAACCCGAATTTACAATGAAAGCCTTCTCGTCTATGGATGTAATAGATTAGATTTCACAACTTAATTCCCCGGAATGGCTCCGTTTAAGGGAGCTCCGGCTGATTTTATTACGCCAAGCCAAATTGGATGTTTGTGGTCTTAACGAAAAGCGATTGTGACACAAAATATATAATTTTTAAAGTAAAAAAAAAAAAAAAAAACTCAGCAGGTCCGACCCTGTCCCCGCCCCCATCCTTCCTTCTCACCCCGGCCCCCGTTCGGAGGCCGAGAACTGCGAGCCCGTCGGTGTCTGCGCGGAGACCGGGGCGCTCCGGGCGGGGCTGGGCTCCCTCCCGCGGCGGCCGGACGCGGGGCGCCTCCCCGGCCGCGCGGGGGCCGCCGCATCGGTGGAGACGCGCCGTTGCCCGCCCGCCCCGGCCGGCCCTTCGCAAGCTCGGCGCCCGCGCGGGCGCACAGCGGCGGGACCCGGCGCTCCGAGACCCGGCCCGCCGGGCCGGCGGAGCACGAGGGCGGGGGCGCGTCCGAGCCGCCCTGCCCGGGCCTGGCTCGCCAGCGCGCGGCCGGTTCTGCTGTCACTTCCGATTAAGGTCGGGCTCTGTTCTCCCGACCGCGGCGGCGTCGCCTCCCCCACGCCCACCCCCGGTTTTGGGGCGGTTTGTTGGAGACGGATTTGGCCCGGCAGCGGGGGCGGAAGGCAGGCCGCGCGCGGCCCACCCCTCCCCCGGCGATCTCCGTGCCCCCGAGGCCGGCCGCAGCCGCTGCGACAGCCTCGTGGCGGGAGCCCCCCGGGCGCGCGACAATCGGGGCCTGGCGTGGCCTCAGCCGCGGCTCCACGTGGCCCGCGGTCGCGCTCGCGCGCGGAGGCCGGCGGGCTGCGGGGGCGCGCGCCTTCAATTCAGTCGTCGCAGCGCCTGACCTTGTTATTTCCTCGTGCCGGTAACACGGCAGCAGCTGTTTTTTCCAGAATTACTGCTGCTGGGGGAGGGGCGTTATTATTATTTTTGGTTGTCACAGCCTCCTGGAAAAATTCCCTGGCCTGGGAAAGTGTAACAATAGCCCGGCGGATTTCTGGAGGAAGCGGCCCCCCTTCTCCTGGGAGCCTCTGCCCTCGGGCTGCAGCGGAAACCTCGCGGGAGTGTGGACCCCTCCCCCTCAGGGGACACTCAGGG